AAAAGAACCCCAGGGATTCCAGATCCTTCCCAGGCTTGGGTAATGAGGGAACTTAGAGCTGGCGGGAAAGCAGGATATGTGAAGGTCACTTTAGGTGCTTCTTACAAATTAGGAAACTAAGGCCCGAAGAGGGAGAGTGCCTTGTCCAAGGTCAGGAAACAGGGCTGGAAGATTTCAGACCAAAGGCTACATCCCTGGACAAAGCTCTGACAGCCCAGAGAGGAGCACTATATGAATGCAGACCCAGGGGGCAAGATGGTGGCAAGATAGCCAGCCCACTTCTCCCTTTTTTCCCTTCGCCAGGGCACTCTACAGGGGGATGCTGCTGCTTGAGTGACAGAACGGGGACCAGCTGAGTCATAAGAGGATAATGAGCCTTTCCCAAGCCTCTCCATGTGCCCAGAGGTGGCTGAGAGCCTTTCATTTAATCTCTAAAGAGCTTTTGAAGGTTGGAGATTGTTAGACCAGATTATGGATGGGAAAACCGAGGCTCAGAGAGACCGGATAACCCACTCACTGTCATACAGTTAATAAGTGGCAGAATCAAGGCTTGAACTATGGTCTTAAAAAAAACAAACTCATTGCCATCCCGTCGATTCCGACTCACAGCAACCTATAGGACAGAGCAGAATTGCCACATAAGGTTTCCAAGGAGTGGCTGGTGGATTTGAACTACCACCTTTTGGTTAGCAACCAAGTTCTTAACTACTGTGCTACCAGGACTCCTGAACTCTGGTCTAGCTGACTCCAAGTCAGGTGTTTTGTTCATAGCTCCACACTTGTCCCTCTGAAACCTCAGGTCTTGCTGCTTTCCTGGCCTGAAATCCTCTTCCCAGCAACTGGTTTTTTACTAGTTAGTGGTTTGGTGTGGATTAAGTGTAAGGTTGATGTAGGCGATAAAGGATGATAAAGTAGGCTGGAATTTGGTTTGGACTTGGCTACCATGTCTTTATCTATAGGCAGTGGAGAGCCATTGAAAGGCATTCAGCCAGTCACCTGCTCAGAGAGGCCTCCCTGACCACCCAAATCTAGAATAACCAATCAGTTGTCATGGAGTCAATTCTAACTCATGGTGACCCCATGTGTGTCAGAGTAGAACTGACATGGGGTTTTCAATGGCTGATTTTTCAGAAGTAGATTGCCAGGCCTTTCTTCTGAGGCACCTCTGGATGGACTTCAACTGCCAACGTCTTGGTTAGAAGCTGAGCATGTTAACCGTTTGTACCACAACTGTTGTTGCTGTTAGTTGCCATGGAATTGGCTCCAATTTATGGTGACCTTATGTATAACCGAACAAAACATTGCCAAGTCTTGTGCTATCTTTATGATCTTTGGTATGTTTGAGTCTGTTGCTGTGGCTGTTGTGTCAATCCATCTCATTGAGAGTTTCCCTTACACTACAGTAGCCTGCCTTTTTAATCCACCTTCATAGCCTTTGTCCTTTGTCCTTAAGAAATTATTTATATACTTCTTTTCCTCCTCCTCCCAGTCCCCATTGTTACTTGAGTCTTGAGAGTAGGAACTTTGTCTTGCACTAAAGTATCCTGGGGTCAACAAATATTTATTGAATGAATGAACAAATGGACCTGCTGCCTAGCTTTAGAAGCCACAGTCAAGAAGGTGGTTTAAGGGGTTTTCCTTAGCAGAGTAGTTTTGTCCACTGTGGCGTTAGCAACGTGCAGAGCCTTTGTTCTCCAGAGGACACGTCCTGAGCTGCTGAAGGGTATCAGTCTGGTCTGTGTTCAAAGGCTGTTATCGAACAGGTTTGCCCTGTAGAGTCCCAAGAAAGTCCCAAGAGGCGGGCAGCCCTCCCACCTGCTCCCCAAACTGCAACCTGTGGAGAAAAACAGCTCTGGGGTGACCTGGGTCCACACGGGGCGGCCCGGGTGAGGTGTGGGAAACCAGAGATCCAGGCCCGGTGGGGCGGGGCCACACGGAATGGCAGCGTTGTTTGCCTCTGTGTATAGCAACCAAAAAGCACCGCGGCCAGCACTTCTCAGAGGCCGCCTCCGGCACCCCGCCCCACTAGTTTAATCTCTTTAAACTGATTTGTCAGCAACAGGAAGTGACATGACAGCTTTCCTCACAAAAGGGAAACTCCTCCGCGTTACCATGGATTCGGAGGCTGTATGATCACAGATTTATATAATCTTTGAGGTCATCCTCGATGGGCCAGGGGAGGGAGAGGAAAGAGCACAGGAGGCTGCGAATCCCAGGCGAATTAGCCACGATTTGCAAAATTCTAAGGAAAGGGGAGGATGCGGTGGAGGCATTTGGGATTGGAAGTATCCTGATGAAATAATGAGTGCCTGCAAACCACAGAAAAGCATAAAATATGCATTGATACATTTCAGTCGGAATCTACTGGAGGGCATCGGTTTTTTTGTTTTTTGCTTTTTTTAAGAGTTAGAGAAAGGAGCCCTGGTGGCACAATGGTTAAGCCCTGGGCTGCTAACTAAAAGGTCGGCTATTCAAACCACCAGCGGCGGCTCCATGGCAGAAAAGATCTGGCGATCTGCTCCGGTAAAGATTACAGCCTGGGAAACTTTACAGGGCAGTTCTAGTCTGTCCTATAGAGTCGCAATGAATCGGAATAGGCTTAATAACTAAATGACTTTTGAAGGGTACACAACCATCACAGAGTTACGGAGCTGGGAGAAAATTTACCAGTTAGATTCAATGCAAACGGTCGTTTTACAGGTGGGAAAATGGAAGCCTGAGAACTGCCAGAGGTCATTAGAACAGCGGAAAGGGAATCTAAATGTTTCTCCAGGACCTATTACCTGCCAGGCATTTTACATTCATGAGCCCATTTCCTCCTCACAAATGAAGCAGGTTTCATAGTCTTCACTTTATAAATGAGGAAACTGAGGCCCAAAAGGGATACATAGCTTTTCCACCCAAAAATTACATAGTAAAGCCATGGCAGAGTCTGGTCGGCTCCAAAGCTCATCTTTTCCCCACTGCCTCAAGCTGTTTTCCAAAGTGAACTGGGACCTGAGTCCCTACTCTTCTTTCAGACCTGGGTTCCAATGTCTGCAATGCAGTTCACTTGCTGTGTGACCTTAAGCATGTCACTTCACCTCTCTGAGCCTCAGTTTCCTCCTCTGCAAAATGGAAGTAATAACTGCCCCCACAGGGTTGCTGTCAGGGATTAAATGTGTAAAACACTCAGCACAGTGACTGGCACGTGGCTATTATGACCACATTATCAGTATTAAACCATAGTTGTCTCCATTTCAATCTCCCACTGGAAAACAAACATTTTAATGTAGTTCAAGCATCATGAGGTTCTGTTTTGTTTTCTTTCCCTAAGAAAAGCAGTCTCAGGCCAAATGTGACATTTTTTGAACGGCCTGAACATCATGAATTCAATCTTAAGGGAAAGGAATTTATGCTTCTGACTCTCTGGGGCTGGCAGGAGGTGGAGTCGCTTACCCTGGAAGAAGTGAGTGAATTGTTTTCACTGGCGGCTCCCTTAGGCAGCCGCTGTATTTTTCCACTGTGTACGTAGATCACAGTGGAGATTAATGTTGGTTCAGCCAGTGCCTGCCAAGCAGAAAGTGATGGCTGGAGCCCACAGGGAAGTCAGTCAAGGCATCTGCCAGAGACTAGAAGTCGCTGGTACATTTCCGCAAAGGGAGATATTTGCAATAGTGAATTTCTAGGGTTTGATAAAAACATTGGGGTACAGTTTGTTTTGAAAGGCGTCAACATACTTGCTTGCAATCGGAAACCCAGCCAAGGAAACAAGCTCTCCAGCCCAGGGTAAGTTCTTAGAACTTAGAACACAGGGATCTTTCAGGCCCTGGGAGTCAGGTGGCAAATGGTGAACCAATGGGGAAAGGTCAAGGACCTTGATTCTGTGTCAAGGACTCCAACAATCGGACTGGGCCAGGACCACAGAGCAGGGCGCCGCAGGATAGGCTAAGTGGGATATTTCCTTTTCTGCTTCCTACAGCACTTTGTCCAGCAACAAGCAAGCTGGAGCAGTAGCTAAGGCAATAGTAACCCAAGAGCTCCACTGTTATTTAATTCAATACTTACAGACTGGCTGACAGGCTGGTAGTCAATTATACCTTCCCTGCTTTAGCCTGTTTAGCAAGAGTAAAAATTCAAGATATTGCCCTAGAGCAAATCAGATTTAATTGCCTATCTTCTTCAACAAAATTATGAAATCAAAGCAGCAAGTTAAGTGGCCTAACGCAGCCCTGAGTATGCAATGGATATACCCAGAGATGTTGGCAGAGATATCCAAAACATTAATAGCCAAGGAGGCGGGGGTATGGATTTCAGATTATCTGTCTACACTGTTTTTGCTTATAGTGCTTGAACATTCAGTGTACTATTTTCACAAAAACAAGTTCTCTCTAAAAGCAGAAAGAGACCATGTGAGAGAGGCAAGTGATGAAGTGCAAAGCACACAGAATTAGGCAACAAAGCCAATGTAGGTCCCAACTCCCTGACTTCTGCTACTTAGCTAAACTGAGTTTCAACGTCTTCATTTGCAAAAGGTCTTGCAGAGTTGTTTTAAATAGACATTACCTTGCACATGGTAGGAACACATTTACATCAATGTTTTGGAAAACTTTATCATCCTTATAATTCTGGCACAGCTCAGAGAGAAGAGGAAGGCTTTTTCTACTACCCTGAGGAAGGTATTAAATGAAAAAGGCAATCCAGGCAAACAGCCATTTCTTCCTAGCTTTGGTTCTGCGGGCACTTGGGCTCCCTGTGTAACATGAAAGGAGTTATGAATGGCACTTTGACCCAATACTAAGAGTTCAGCCTCAGCACCTGCTTTTTCATGACAGGTATCACTTGCCTACCTTCCTTGTAATCCAGCCATCTTTTGGGACCAAGGGGTCACCAGAGGATATGGGATCAGACTCCAACACACATGTTCTTTAGGTCGTTGTCCAAATTCTCCCATTTCATTGTGGGGAGAAGGGGGAGGAAAGGGAACAAGTAGGGGCTGCCAAAGAAAAAAAGCACTGAGATTTTGTAGAAATACTATAATTTATTCTGTTGTATAAAAAAAGATCCTTATGTAATAAAATGTCTTCTTAGAAGAAGAAATATATTATTTCAGGTCATAAATAATCAGCAAACATACAACTGTTGGCAACTAAAAAAAAAAAAGGACCAACACTGGTGTTCTCCATCAGTGCTGAAAACCAACCTTAGGATATATTTATAGGATATTACAGTACTCAAACACAAAAATTGAGGTATTTGGTTTTTCTAGGAGTAGACACTGACGTTTGTGAAGGCAGACTAGCTACACAAAAATAAATAAGGTATAGTCTCACGTGTATATGTGTCGTTGGGAATGGTAATACTGGTAGGTATGTCAAGCATGAAGTTTCTACAAAAAACGAGGGCAAGCAAAAAGAAACCGGCTCGTACACGGAGTCCTTTCTCTTCTGCCCCTTTTTGTCAGAGGGACTTGATGTATCCACTATAGACTGGCCCCGAATGTGGTGAGTTCAGCAATCATCTTGACGCAAAGTCATCACTATGACTGTTTCAGGAACCCAGCAGAAGTCGGGTGAAATTAAATAAATAAGGACCAGCCCTCATGAGTCCCCTCCCCGGAGTTACTGCATTTCTCCTCTAAGAAGGAGCCTGGAGTCCTGGTGGGTTGTGAAGATCAGATCACCTCCCATGGGCTTTTCAGCAGCTGGGAGAGGTTGTGATAGGACTCTGAAGATAGCTCAATGCACTGTTCGTAGGGTGGACAGGAATGGAGACAGGGAAGTTGAAGACGGTGGTGGTGGAGGTGCCTCGGTCGAGGACAGCCATGGCGGGGCTCCCAGCCTCGGCAGAGCAGTGCGGGGCCAGGACTTGAGACTCAAACTGCAGCAGCTGGCCCATGAAGCTGAAGTTGGGGGAGATGATACTCCTCCTCTGCTTCACAAACTCAAAGGCCTCATCCAGCTTGACTCGGTTAGTCCTCATGAGGTAAGCAAGGCAGATGGTGGCTGACCGGGAAATGCCTGCCTGGCAGTGGACAAACACCCTTCCTCCAGCATTCTTGATGGAATCTAGAAAACAAAAGGGCAACTGGTTACCCAGGAGCTCAGGAGAACAACTTCAACCTCAGGCACAGGGTGCCTTAAAAATGTCACGCATGTCTTGTCCAGAGATACTCAACATTACTATATGCCATCATATGGACACCATTCTTGGAGGCAATATGGGCACTGTAAAAAGAACAGTGAGGGATTTAATCCCAGACCCAGCCTCTCCACTAGGCACACTGATCGTGGACAAATCAATTCATCTTTCTGAGCCTCAGTTTGATAATTTGTAAACTGGGATATCAAAACCCTGTTTTGCGGGCATGGTGCCCACACTAGACTGATATTTAATGTCAGAGGTAGGCTCAGAAGAATCTCATTCAAGTCCTTGCCAGGGAGGCCAGGCTGAGTGGCTGAAATGGCGGGGAGAAGGCAGAGAAGTCCCAGGAATCCATTCCATTTACCTATGAAGTCAATTGCTTCGTTGAACCAGGAGCTGATGTCCGCCTTGTAGTTGTCCTCCACAGGGATGCTCTTGTACTGGTAGTGACCCTCAAAATGGTTGGGACAATTAGCTGAGACGTTGATCAAGGCAGTGATGCCCAAGGCATCCAGCATGTCCTTGCGGGAAGCGTGATAGGCACTGCCCAGGTACAGGAAGGGCAGGATCTCCACTGGGCCACCCTGAAATGCAGGAATACCCAACACTCGTCAAGCTTGCCCAAAGTCAACGCCAGTGTCCACACTCACAAAAACTCTCTGCTAGAAAAGTCCATTTCAAATACCAGGTGAACTCCTCAACTCTGTTGTTGGAGGATCAGTAAATAGGAGACAGGACTCATTTGCCTCCATAGGGCAGGACTAACAAGTTCATTTCTATAGTGCCAGCAGTTAGAGACTGTTCAATCAGATTATGAAGTTGTGGAATAAATAATATTCCTATGTCCCTTCGGTTATAAATAAGCTTCCAGTCACTTTTTATATTCTCACTGGCACTGCTCTTCCAGACCTTTGCCAGCTGTTACTTCTCCCCTGTGGCATAGGCCCCAACTAACCTGATCGTAGAGTGGGGTGCTGCAGGAACTGCACCCTGATTCAGCGCTGTCAGGGACGCTAGTACTCAGAGGGAGGCTGAGCCCCATGGGGGTCGACTGTTTGCTGCACAGCTCCGGGCAAAAAGCCGAAAAAGCTTCGTATCCTCCTGGAAATACAAAGAGACATTTTGTTTTTTTTCATTAGTGCCGCTGGGAGAAGACACCTTCATACAACTCCCCCATCCACCACGGCTGGAAGTTTACATGGGAGAAGCCCAAGTCTTTGTTCCTAAAGCCAAACAAAGCCAATGACAAGTCCCCAGAGATACAGCTCCAGCGCCCACGCGCTCCAGGTGGAGCAGCCCCCCAGAGACAGTAAGCCGGGGGGCGCGCAGCCCGTCCCCGAGCTTCCCCGAGGGCGTACCTTTGAGGAAGAAGACTTGCGTGGTGCGCGCCTCTCGGCACAGCGCGCCAGCGGCCAGGGCCACCGTGCTGTCGCGCTTGGCGCAGTCCAGGGCGGCGCTGCGCTCGTCCAGCAGCACCACGGCGTGGTAGGCGCCGGCCAGCAGGCGGCCGCGCAGCTCCGAGTTGGGCACGATGTGCTCCAGGCCCATGGCGCCCTTGGCCCGGCGCCGCACGATGGTGCTGAAGCGCACATTGACCGAACCGGCAATGTGACCGGCGTTGAAAGCAAAAAACGAGCGGCAGTCGAGCAGCAGGCAGTGAGCCGCGCGCTCCCGAAGCAGCGCCCGCAGGCTTCCGACGTCCAGGGAGCCCACCTCCATGACCATGGCCTGTCCGAGCGTCCCCAGGGTGCAGGTCCCTCCGGTGCTCTTTGTCTTCGGAAATCAAAGGCGGGGCGGTGGTTTTCGAAGAAAAGCCCGACCCGGGGTCTGGTTGCGTCGAACCAAAAACTGCCTCTGTACTGAGCAAAGGGCCGTCAAGCGAGACTCCGCACCGTCTCAGTTTCCTGCTGCTATTCCCCTCAGCCCTTACTACCCTCAAAGCAACCCCAGCCCCTGCTTCCTTCGCAGCAAGCCCAGACCGTGGTACCGAGTTTATATGAGTCTCTTCGGGGCGGGGCGGGGCGGGGCGGAGCGGGGCGGGCGCGCCGCGGGAGGGGGTTTGTTTGTTTGAATGTCGGTCACGTGACCTGGCGGTGACGTCACCTACCCTGTCCGGCCGGGCGCCAGCAAAGCCAAAGGCGAAGACGTCATCGGCCCCGGAGCAAGGTGCGCTCCCGGGGCTGTGGCTCGTTCTTGGCCCCCGCCCGTCGGCCGGCCTGCGCCCCTGAGCGTCCCCGGGGACCTGGCCCACGCCGTTCTCCCGGCCCAGGAGGAGGAGAGGGGCGCCCTGCCAGCCCAGAGCTGACCTTCCCGAGGCAGCGGCCCGGAGAGCGGGCAGAGTGCCTCCTCACTTCCCCTCTGCTTTCTCCCCTCCCTCTGCTCCGCGCCGCTTTATTTCCCCGCGCCCCTCCGGGACGACCGGAGCGGACGGGGTTGCCTGCGCCTTTGCATACACTTGTTCCTCTTTCTCGCATTTGTTCGTCAGTCACCGGCGGGGGACTGAGGTCCCAAGGAGGTGCGATTTGCTTGCCCAGCATCACACTGCTAGGAAATCGTGAAGCCGGGGTCCCAGAGGAGCCTGAGATGAGGGCTAGAGAAAAAAAAAATAACAACTTTGTCCATGGAAATGTTCCTACCAGAAATGGTCAAGGTGAGGTGGGGTGGAGGAGTCAGGGAAATAGTTTCCTGTTTCCCCAACTTTTTTCTAATCCTGTTACTTTTTTAAAAAATTGACATTTAACAAGGAAAAAGCACTCTAATTAAACCCCCACCAAAAATGTTAATCAGATGGTCACTAGAATACTTGGAGCTGAGGAAGGCAGGTCAAGTGACTAAAATCTGAGTCGGGGGTCGTAAGAGCGCCGTGTGGATTTCCGGGTTTGGCGTTTGGGAGAGGAAGCGACACTCGGCGCGGCTCGACAGCGCCCCCAGGGGCCGACAGACACGTTTCTCGTCACGCTCGCTCAAGCCATTTTCTCCATCCCTTTCTTTATTCCACACATACGGACTGATGAGCGTCTACTCTGCGCTGGGCTCGGGGGTCCCAGCGGGGAACAGGAGGCGGCCCACACCCCAGGCTCGAGTTCTTGACATCTGTGCGGGCTGAACTCGAAATCCAATCCCTCGGCGCTTCAGAGCCTGAACCCCCACGCCCACCCAAACACTCGGGGAGACTGGTGTGGCTACCGTGCCCTGAACCCTCAATGAGGCCCATGGACAGCAGACACCGCTGAAGCAACACCGACGCTCTAGGTACACAAACATAAACATTGCGCCACTGGGCCGAGTCAGGAACATTCTTCCCCTCTTCTAGGGGGGTTTCATCCGCAGCCCTGTGTTGTTGCTCTGTGGATTGGATCACTAGAGGCAACTTCTGCATTTGCCTCGCCTGTGCGTCCACACATCCTCAAACTTTCTGCCCAGGTTCTTCTATAAAAATTGAGGGCACTGAGTGCTTTATTTATGTATGTATTTTCTTTCTTTCTTTCTCTCTCTTGGGGCGTTTTTCTTTTCTTCAGATGAACATTGACCTAGGACAGCCAAGATATCTCAGATAACGGTTACACCCTCCCTGTATCTTAAAAAGAGAGAAAAAAAAAAAAAAGGAAAAATGCTTTATTTGTTTATACTATTCATTCAGCTGAGGAACTCAACATATTTTATGCATTGAATCATAGAATGTTACAGATGCTGACTTTTCACTGCGTAGCAACATGGTCTGTCCTTTTTTTTTTTTTTTAACCGAGAGCATTCATTATACTTACCCCCTATTCAAATTTAAAAAAATAACACTTTTTTTAATACAAATATTACAGTGGTAGTGGCAAGTGTAGCCGTAGAGCTGGGTGTCAGCTGACCTAGTTGGATTTTCATTCTCATCCTTTGCTGAAAAGAGCACAGAGTAGTGGGCTTGAAACCTACACTGTCATTGTGCTGCTGTAAGATCCTAGACGAGCCTCTGAGTCCACATCTGTACAATGGGTATATAACTGCCTACTTTGTGGCTGGCTTAAGGCCCAACGGAGAGATGGAACCCAGACCCTTCTCATTATGATCCGTGCAATCTCCTGGTTTTCCCCTTCCCAACAGAGCAGTTCCTACATCATCATGCCACTGTGCGTTGCAGGGTCTTGCACCAGAACCTGGGGAGAAGGTCACCACAAGCCAGAAGCTAATGAGAGAGGCCAGTAGGTGTGGTTGGGACAGAGGCCCCAGTATTCCCCCAGCTCAGGGAAAGGCCATCATCCCTTAAAACCAACGAACACACAGTGGCTCCAGTCAGGGGTTGTGTGCTGGTCACCTGCCCAGAGACAGGTGGTAAAGGTGTAGCCACCGAGGCACCCAATCCAGGCAGTGGAGATGCTGCTTCTGGCTGGGAATGGAGCCAAAGAAAGCCCAGAAGGGACAAGGGGCTGGAATTGGGGGCCTGGCTGCCAAAGGGGCACCAAGGAGGATGCCTCAGTGGATGTTGATTTGGGGAAAAGAATTGGGCCTTTGACCTGGGCTCTTCCAGATTCTAGGTGTGCTTAGAAATAAACCTGTGGGTTTATTTGTGGGTGGTAGGAGGGTCCAGGGCATTGGACTCAGTCGAGGGCCTGGCCTGGATTCCCCATCTTTAGTATGTGGCCTTGGGTAAGTCACTTCACCTCTCTGAACCTCTGCTCCCTCCTCCCTGTGACAGAGACATTAACATTTACCTCTAGGGGATATGCGGAGACTCAGTGGAAGAATGTTTGTTAAAGTGTATAGCTCTGGTTGATACTGTCCTACAATCCCTGTCCTAATCTTGCTCTCAAAATCAACTTCATGTCCATCCTGGGATCACAGGAGGAGAAAAGTTGGAGCTACAAAAGAACAGTATCAGACCAGCCTCCAGATCCCTCAAAACTTCATGCCTGCCTGGGCTCATACCCCAAGAGCAACCTGATGACAATTAGACAGTGGCTCCAGCCTACTGTCTTCTGTGTGACCTTGGACAAGTGGTTTAACATTTCTGAGCCTCAGCTTCCCCATTTGTAAACTGGGAATAATATCACCTGTCGTTGTTGTTAACTGCCATCTAGTCAGCTCCGACTCTTGGCAACCCCGTGTACAACAGAACGAAACGTTACCTGGTCCTGCATCATCTTCGTGATCATTGGTGTGCTCAAGTCCATTGTTGTGGCCACTGTGTATTTTGAGTGTCTTCCAATGTAGGGGGCTCATCTTCCAGCACCGCATCGGACAATGTTCTATTGTGATCCATAGGGTTTTCATGGCTAATTTGCGGAAGCAGATTGCCAGGCCTTTCTTCTTAGACTGTCTTAGTTTGGAAGCTCCACTGAAACCTGTTCACCACGGGTGACCCTTCTGGTATTTGAAATACCGGTGGCATAGCTTCCAGCATCACAGCAACAAGCAAGCCACCATAGTATGACAAATTGACAGATGGGTGGTGGAGTATCCATCCAGGAGTGAGTATAACAGAGTGTGTGATAAAGTGTGTGTCATGCCCAGAAGGGGTGCTCTCAGGAGAGGGGGCTGGGTCCCACAAGCTTATCTCCTTTAGAACCCACAGCCCTTTTATTGTCTCCCCTCAGCTGTATGGTGGTCCCCTCCCTTGCTGCGTATCCTCCCATGACTCCCCCTTTCCTACCAAATGCAAAGCCCTCCATCACCTCAACTACCCACCTGGCCCAGCCTCCCACTTCTTTCCTTGTTTCCCTGCTGTACTCCAGGCAAACTAGGTGGGCCTGAGTTTCTGGAAGGTTTCATGTCCTTTCCCACTCCCACACCTTTGCTAGCACTGCTTTCCCTCCCCCTGCCACCATGCTGTCTCCCCTGATCTCTGCCATAATCTTCCCCGTACTCCAAGACCTAGAGAAAGGGTCCTGTCCATGAAGCCTCCCTGGGCCCTGGAGCTTTGTCCAAACATTCTGGTTGTATGAAAGCCACTTGGACCTTCGTCTTACTCGCCTGGAGGGAAGAAGGCCTGTGTTTTTCTCATCTTTGTGCCCCTGACCCCACTGCCCTTGATGCAGTGCCTGGCACATAGTAGGTTCACAATTTGTGGAATGGTGGAGTAATATTTTTTAAGTGTCCTGTTGAAAGTATCAGAAGAGAGGGGAAAGGAAATTGTCATTTATTGAGTCCCTCCTCTTCACTAGGTATTATTATGCCACCTCCTCATCAATAACCCTGTGACAGGGCTGTTATCTCCATTTTATATGCGAAGAAGTAGGCTCAGAGAGGGGACTGCCCAAGGTCACACAGCTGGAAATCATCAGTCACAGATTCAAACCCAGGACCAGTCTAATTCGAGAGATGGAGCTGGACCTGGGCATCCGACCATGCTGAACCCTAGTCTGCTGAGACCTCTGCCTCCATGAGGCCTGTCCCAGGCAGCCCTGGCTAAACCTCTAACTCGCAGCTTGCCTGCCTCTGGTCACTGGGCTGAGTGTTCCCTGGCACCAGCCCTGGAGAGTGCCTGGAGCTTCCTAGGACCCCCAACTCAGGCCCTGGTCTTCCTGCTGCCTCTTGGTAGTCGCTCAGTGGTTGGGATTTGGGGTAGCCACAGGCAGGGAGACTCAGCAGCCACTTGGGCCCTCCCAGAGGGGCTGGTAAGGGGTGACTTCACTCTCCACACCCAGGCTGTTAGGACAGAGCCAGCTGCCATTGCACAATCCCTGCAAGCAGATCTCCGTGGTCAGGCCTGGGAGAGCCTGCAGAAATGTGTCATCTATCCAGCCCCTGTCACTTGAAAGACGAGGAGCCCAGAAAGGTTAGGCAACCTGACCAAACTCACACAGTGTCCAGAACATTCTAACTCTAGTCAGCATTGTGTGAACTGTGTGTTCAAACAGTTAGCAGTACTTATCTCTGGAGGGTGGGGTTACTTTCATTTTCTTCCTTATAGCTCTATATGGTTTAATTTTTTTTTTTTTACTGTGGTGAAAATATACACAATAACACATACGCCAATTCAGCAATTTCTACATGTATAATTCAGTGACATAGATT